TGGCTCTCCCGTCAGAGGAGCAGCATCTTCAGGACCTGGCAGACCTCACTGCGATGCCATGAGCACCTGCCCCACATCTCTTGCTGTCAGCACGGTGCTAGCTCGTCTCCCGCTGCCCCGCTGTGGGTCCACCTTGTTCTACTCTCCTTTCCTCTGGGCGTTCTCTCGGGAGGCTCTGGACAATGAGTGCTTCACGGGCCTGATTCAGTGTCCTGTTGGTGTTCAGGCAGCCCTGCCACAAGCTAGTAGAGTTTGCCTGAGTCATTCTGCAGGAATGTTTATGCAGCACTTCCAAGAAAACTTGTAGATATTGGCAAGAAGCCATACGGCTCATAGACCTGACCACAAGCCTTTAAGTAATAATAGTGGGGCAGCACTTAGCAGTCTTTTCTTTTTTGCTTATTAAAATCTCATATTTGCCTCTTCTTTTCCCTGGATGGGAGCATGGGTGCGGGGCAGGTCTTTCTCCCTCTCACTTTGGAGCTGGCTTCGTGTTGCACATAAGAGAAGCAATGCTTGGCCGAGAGCATAGCCAACACAAGTGTATAAGCATATATAAGCAGATGAAACTAACTCGTGGTTCTAGTTAGTTCCTCATGAGGAAAGCTATGAACCATCATGATAGCTCTTAAACTTCAAAATTCGGGACTCTGTTCCTTTCTGGACCATTCACAAGGACTCCGGGTTGGAGTTTCTGAAAAGGAGTCTGTACCCCTCACTTAAACTGGAGTAATTTCCACACCAGTGATTATTTTTGTCTAGTCCATCCTTGAAATGTCTTTGGAGATGGGGGAGCTTGCTGAAGTTTATGTTTGTTGCATCCTTGTCTAAGTGGGGACTGAGGTAGGCAGCTCTGTCACCTCTTCTCCTTGGCCTCTGTCAGGAGCAGTGGTGAACAGGCCCAGCGCCTCCTTCAGGCCCTTGTAGAGGCATCTCATTATGTGGTATTTAACTAAGGTAAAACTTCTTTTGACTCCTGTCTCTCAGATAAGATGGATTGAAGCCCAAAAGGCCTTGGGGTGGGGAGGGGTGGAAGGACTTGTACGTGACCTGGTCCAAATTCCTGGGAGCGAGTCTGTGTTCCTAGTGGGGACGGTGGTGGCAAGGTTAAAGCAAACTTGAAGCACAAGAGAAACTGAAAAAAACGCAGGACCGAGCATGGTGAAAAAGAGAGCAAAACAAAATAGAAGAAAATGAAAAGCTAGAGATTAGTGAAAAAGAACTAGATGACGAAAGATGGCATAAAAAGTACATGAAAGTGATGGCATGCAAAAAGTACATGGATTGAATATGAAAATGTAACATGAGAGCAGGACGATCAGAGAGAAGGAAGAATAATTCTGTGTACACCCCACACCATTGATTATATGTAGAGGTTGTATCCCAAGGACTGGGTGCTTCATGAGCTGACTTGCATTTGCTCTGTACCCAGGGCACACAGTCTGCCCCGCCTTCCCAGCTGCACATTCACTCCCGGGTGCAAACTGTGTGCCCAGGCCGCATGTGTGTGTTGGTTGATTGTGGTAAGTCTTAGACTTTAACTAGAGGAAGTAGAGGCAAGAAGTTTTTCTCTATAAGGGGTTTCTGTACCACTCTGGCTGGGCTCTTCTTGCCCAGTGATTTCTTCAGGTCGCAATGCAAACCAGGTTTTGAAGTAACAGTGATCTGAGTGTTCATCACTCAGTATGACCTTTAGGAATCTTTTAATCACTTGGGACTTTTCTTTGTATGTCTGACTTGAGAATTATACCACGAAATGAAGGAGGTACTACTGATAGCTATGCTGACAAACATTAATTGAACCACAGAAATACTGGACAGAGTGAGGTGGGGTTTCAGTATTCAAATATGTGCCACCACAGTCTGTTTCCAAGGAATCAGTGATCAGATCTGTGCACTCAGCTCAATCACCTGTTTCTGTCTTTATGTCATTGTGATTATTAATTGCAGTTATTATTGATTGTATTAGCGTATGGGCCACACATGTCACTGAGACCGGGTGGAGTGGAGCTCAGGAGCTTCAGAATATTCTAACCATGAACCTTTAGTTCAGTGCTGAGTGCAGCAAGAGTAAATTTAAATATTTGCCTCAGTGACATGAAATCCTCATCAGTGAACACCTCAGCTCTATTGCATATGACCTTTTTTTTCCCCTCTAAATTTAGCTTCTGGGTAAAAACTCAAGCCTAGAGGTACCTTCTTCAGAAAATCTGATTGAAGCCGAAAAGAGGAAGAGAAGATAGGAAAACTTTTCCCCTTTTCTAACTTGTTCAACTAACGAATAGGCAGCCCTTCTATAGATAAAATAGCGAAGAGTGGAGAACATCTGGGAGCCAGAAGCAGGCATGGCTGCTCCCCTACGTGATGGTGTACCCTGGAGAAGCCCTCTAGGCCTTATTCAGGTGGAGTCACTGTTAGCTCACCTAATACTTAAAATCAATAGTTAACTGCTCTTGAGTGGCTCATGTTTTGGGGATTTTGAAATCCTTCTGAAGTCAGCTTTGAACATACACAACACAATTACAGAAGAAAAGAGAAAAGACAAGTAGCATTCCAGATATAGGATGGCTTCCATATTTGCATCCTTCACTGCTGGACTGCTGTAATAAAATCTTCAGGCTGTTTGGAATGTTGGCCTGGAAAGCAAGGGTGAGGGAGTCTGTAGGGCCCCTGCCTGGCTGCCTTTCCCAGCATTTCCTGTCCCACAGGGTGCAGGAATGCCATAGCAAATGCCTTTAGGCAGTGTGGAGAGAGGACCAGAAGCCGTCTTTCCTGCGATTCAAGCTTGGTGAGGAGGATGTGGAGGTGGAAGTGCCCTGTGGTACTGTCACCCAGTTTCTTGACAGTCCTGAGCATTACTGTGCATGGCCTTCTGGATATCACTTCTTCCTTGTTGATGCCCTTCCCCACTTACTGCTTTGCCATCAGAAGTAAAAGGAGGTGAAATTTTCAACATTTGAATAAACTGAAAAATCAGTTTGCTCTCATTCACATTCCAAATGAACTCACAGCAGGATGATTTAGAACTAATGGGAAACCCAGTGAGATACTATGATAGTCTACCAAATTAGCAAACTTTTGCTGGCTGATACCACCAAGTGTTGACAAGAATGTGGGTGATGGAAACTCACAAACACTGCTAGAGACAGTGAACATGGTACAGCCATTTCAGAAAGTGGCTTAGCATTCTCTAATTGATGCAGCTGTCCCCTTGGACATGTGCCCCAGGAGCAATGAACAAGAATGCTCTAGGCAGCTGCAAACTACATGCAGATGTTCATGAACCATAAGGTGGATAGGTAAGCTATCATTTTTATGCATCAGCCAGGATGGACAGACTACAACTACACTCACCGTGGGTAAATACTAAAATGGCTGAGTGAAAGAAGCAAGTCACAAAGAAGTGCACATTGTGAATCAATTTCAAAGAAGAGGAAAATAGCATAAAGCAGACTGTTGTTTTGGAATGGAACATAGATGGAAAATCTTAAAAATAAAGAAATGTAAACAAAAGTCAGGATGCCTGCCTTGGGGAAGGAGGGAGGAAGGCTCATCTAAGCAGGCATGGTGGTGGTTTGGTTGGGGGGGGGGGGTGTTGCTTTGTAATTATTCTCTAAGCCGCTTGTGTAATGTTTGTGCACGTCTTTGCTTATGCCTCACACACACAAAACGATGAAAAGTAGTTCTTTCAAACAAAGCTTCTCAGCCATGCCTCAACAGTACTTGCCCTTGTGGGCGGCTGTCTTGGTTTTTCAGGTCTATCTCCCTCTGCTGCTGGGTTGCAGGTGATGGCGGCAGAGGGGATAAACCCTTTCTCTCTCAACCCTTTGGTGACCCTCAAGTCTGGGAGGAGATGGCACAGCAGCCTTGCAGAGGGGCGACGGCAGGGGGCGCCCTAGCCCCCAGCTCCGGGCCCAGACCTCCCAGGGCCCCTCCCTATTGCCCCAGGGCCTGGCAAGGCCCCCAGTGAGGCCTTCCCCGGCGGAGACACCCTCACATAGGACGGAGACGCTCCTCCCCCGAAGGTGGGCCACCCTCTGCCGCCTGCCAAGGGGGGCGGCGCCTGCGCACCCGTCTGCCACCCCGGGGCACTGGCGGGCGGGGCTGAGATGTGCCCGAGAGCCCCTCCGCGGAGGCCGTGACCCGGGTGCATCCGCCCTCCTGGCACCGCCTGTGGGGGCCTTGTGGAAACAGGTGGGCTCGCTACGGGCAGGGGCTCGGCCTCGCCCTGCTCTGGGTGAAAGAACCTGGGAAGCCCAGGGACCCGCTCGGCCTTCACGTCTTTCCACCCGCCTGCCCAGGAAAGCCCCGGGGGACATGTGACGGCTGCCCCGCGTGTGCCTCCCGACGGTGCAGGCGCCCGACGGGGCTGCGGGGCCATGTCTGCAGACGCCCACGTGGGCGGCGTGCGCAGCGCGGGGAGCAGCGGGGACCCAGCGGGCCGTCCGACATCTAGCCCAGTTGCGTGACCTGCCTCTCACTTTCCAGTTAACGTTTGCAGAGGATTCTAGGGCCCCATTTTTGCAAACAAGCACAGTTCTACGCTGTATTTTATCAAAAAATTTTAGTCTTTACAACTCATTAAAAGCTGAATGAGGCAGGGCTTGCCGGCGGACACAGCGGGAGACTAAGCTACCAGGTGTTTTGCGGGCTCCAGTCTCACGATGGGAAGTTCCTGCCCTTCCCTTCACGCTCTGTCCCTTCTCCCAAGCTGTGGGTGATGCCTAGGGTGTAGGGCGGGATGTGAAGGTAGGAAGGCAGGAAGGCATTGATTTACTTCAGCTGTGCCCAGAGAATTGGTATTCAGCCATTTCACAAAACATTATTTTTTCAGAACCTGTTCATTAGTTTTGTCACGCAAAATTTGATGAAAATACCGTTATAGTGCTTTGAAGAGTATTTTGGGATCTGCTTTAAATAAGTTAGGCTGAAGTAATGGGTAACAAAATGAGTCTTTCCAGAGGACCCCCCTAATGTGCCGCCCCATTTTCTCCGTGTAGGAAGGAGTGGTGTCTCCAAGCGACCTTGACCTTGTCATGTCAGATGGCCTGGGCATGCGGTACGCCTTCATCGGACCTCTAGAAACTATGCATCTCAATGCAGAAGGTATGCTCTGGTTCCACAGGGGCCAAGGTGGGAATCTGTGCAGTTTAGTGTTTTCTTGGGGTTTGTGAACAAATTTTGTCTTTTTTACAAGTGAGAAGAGAACAGTATCATGAATAGGAGACAGTGGGCAAGCCCTGGTAATTCACAGATAGGGGCTGGGACAGAGCACGGTGTCCTGAGATGTAAGTCCAGAGTCCACAGTCCTCAGGGAGAACACTCAGGTGCCAGCTGAAGAACAGACAGACAGGTGATGTTATGGAGGTTTCGCTGCATGTCATCCAGCCTGGTAGAAGGTAAAGCCCTGCCTTTCCTAAGAAAGATGAAGCAAGAAAAAAAAGTTAGGGAAGTAATCACGTGAACCCTTGCTGGTCGTGTCTTCTGCCAAGCTGGCAACTTCTAAGTGGGATTTGCTGAGCTGTGGGTTTCCCCCCAGACGGCCAGGAAGGGCCCAAGCCAGTGGATGATCTGAAAACTGCTCCAAAGGGCTTGGGCAGCAGGGGTGAACCCAGGATCGAGAGACTATAAAAGAAGTTCACCAAAAGAGACAGAAGCTTTCAAGAATGAAACTTCAGAAAGATTTTAAGCAATTCAAAAAGAAAATGTCATTTGAAAAACAAGCAATAAATCCTACACCAAATTAAACCAAAGTAAACACAAAAAGCTATGTATAAAAACCGGGGAAAATGTTACCTACATGTTATTATTACCGGATATCTCCTGGTGTTGAAATTATAAGTAACCTTGTTGTATTTTTTTCTTTTCTGTGTTGTTATAATTTTCTAAATGTATTATGTGTTATATTAATAATTGTACTATGAGGTGGTAAAACATATGTAGAAAGAGAAAAGGAATATTGTTTTCAGCTCTACTCTACATTCTGCATTTCACAAAAATATCGGGAAGCTGGAGCTTGTCTAGAAGGTGTCCAGAGGTGTGTGTGTGTCTGTCCATGTCTTATGTGGGAATAGAACCAGAATGAAAGACTGGAATGTCAGGCAGGCATGTTTGGGGTCCACTTGTCAGAGGAAGAACTTCCTAGTAACTAGAGCTGATAGTGAGGGAGGGGGCCATGCTGTGAGCAGATGAGTTGGGCGGCTGGAGGCTGGTTGCCCACCTGTCAGGATGTTTAAATAAGAAGGGACTCCTGCAGGGAGGTGACCTCTGGGAGTCTGTTTCACTTAGATTTCATCATTCCACTATGTTTTAGAAATAGTCAATTTGCACCACAATAATAAGTGAAATATAATTCCAAAGAATAATTCAAGGCAGTCTTACTCAACATATTCTTGCACACACCTGGTGCTTTGAGTGGACTGGTTGTGTGTGTCATGCATATGAGACTCAATAACTGACTTGATTCTTCCTCAGAACTAAGCATTGCTGAGAGTAGCTGGAGGGAGAGGGGACTCTCTCTTGGCACTGACACATCATGGCTGTGGCAGGATAACGAGAGGGTAGCATGAAGATGGAAGCCCTCATAAAAGGGAAACAGGAATTTTGAAGTACTGTTAAAATAGTCTTGAATTAATTTCAAATGTTTTTTAACCAGACCCTTAACAGTGATGATGAACATATGTAAACATTTGAAATATAGAGACACTGCTTGATAACTGCCGTGTTTTCCTTTTTCTTTTTTTTTTCTTGAGAAAAATAATTCAGCAACCATGAGAAATTGATAGGGAGAGAACTGAGGACAGCTTTGACTCTCAAAACAAACAGAAACAGAAGCCAGTGAAACCAGAAACTCAAGAATCAAATAGCATGGCAGACAAGAAGGAGGCCCATAATGTTTTTTTCAAACAAAGCGGATACGATAAGAAAACTTAATTGGCTTAATATGATAATGGTGGACGGATGTAGTTTTCGACTTCAGAGCATTCCGAAGACCAGAGTGAGACAGTGATAAGGTCTGGCTTGGAACCAATGGAGATGTGCTTTATTCCTCCTGGTGTCACCCAGAATATATCACGATTGGCGTGGGGAGAATTTTTTCTTTCTGACGTTGTTTTGATAAGGCCAGCATCTTAGGTTAAAGCTAGCTATCAGTCTGAAAGCTATAGCTTATCTAGAAGTGATAAAAATATTTTAGGATTTGTTTCAATCTAGAAAAATGGCACCTGAAGAACAGGAGGCCAGCATGCTTGCTTCACCTTTTGGCTACTTTTTAAAAGCCACACTCAAGGAGGACAAGACTCTAGTCAGTGGAGCCAGTCGGCCTGGGTCCTACCTGCCTTATAAGCAAGTTAGTTCAGTGCGCCTGTCTCCCCTCCTATAAAACGGGGGTAACAGCAGTCCCTGCCTCACAAGAGTGGTGTAAGGAGTAAGCCACGCGGGAGCACATGGCTGGTGGCTGACACATGTTCAGTCCTTAATAAATGTTATCTTCATACAGAGTGTTGTCTTGTTTTTTTAATTTACTACTTTTCCAGTGTTGGGGGTGTTTTTGTTTTTTAATTTCCCCCAAAACATTCACAACTGTGTGAGAGAAATACAGAATAAATACAATTTGGGACATCTTTGTGGTGGAATAGCAAATCTCAAGAGCTTAACCGCGTGCATCCGCCCCTTCGCTGAGCTCTGAGATGTGTAGATCAGCAGAGAACTGCCCGGATGTGCCTCGCAGCTCTGGGTGCCTCTGCAGTTTAGCTCTGCCTAGGAAATGCCTCAGAGCCGGCAGCCCCTGGAACTCACTTCCAGCTGAAGTGAATATTTACCATCTTGCCTCACAAAATTTCCTCCTGCGTGCAGATACTTGCCTTTTTTTTTTTTTAATCAGGATGCCTGTTTGGCGGGTTTGGTTCATGTATGTGGCGCTGTTATTTGCAGTGAAACAGGCGAGCGGCCGGGGCTGGGACTTCGGTCTGCCTCCCTCCCCACCTCCCTCCCTGATCTCAGGTGAGGTCTCAGGTGGGAATTAGATATGTCTGTGCTTTGGGGCCTTTTGATCTTCCTTAAGTTCTGTGAAACCTTGTTTGTTAAAAGCAGGTGAATTCGGTAGGTGTGGGCTCATGTGAAGGTCCGACTCCTCTGGCACGGGAAACAAGCAGGGCCCCAGGGGACTCAGCGCCCCAGCCGCTGCGGCAGCTGCTTGCACAGTGACACCCGGTGCCAGCTTCATAAATGCAGGCGGACAAATGGTCCCCTGCCTGTCTGGCCACCTTGGGTTATGGTAAAAGTTAAAGAATGTACACTGTGTCACCTTCGGGGGCTCAGCTAAAAGATTCCAACTTAGAAGGCAGCAAGAAAAGCTAAATCAAATCTCATGAGAATCAATTCTTTCTTCCATTTTTTTCTTACTCCGTATTAGCATCTCTGAAGAAATTAGGTTCAAAGTCTTCTAAAAAGCTAAGCTCTATCAGAGTTTTTGGAAGTATATTATTGAACAGAACAGAAAGCAGGGAAATATAAAAGAAAAATTACTGGGGAAGGCTGAATTTCAGAGTAATACAGGGGAAGGGCAGACTAATAGGGAAAAAGGTGAAGTAGGTTTTTTTCCTTTCCATTTACAATGAAATTGGGATTCTAGAAGAATTTCCATTCAATTCTTCCATGTTGTAGAGAAGCCAAAATTACTGTTGGAAGTAAAGTAAAATCCTCTTTTTATACTTCTCCAGTGGGAGGGGAGGTTTATGAATACCAGTAATAGGAATAAATTTACTGGGACATTGTAGATAATAATGCAGTAATAATGCACAAAGCAGATCTCGACTAAGTCGCCATGGCTTTGTATCTTGAGCAGGTGGGAGTCATTCTGAAGGGCAAGGCCTCTCTGTAGAGGAAGTGAGGGTCTGCACACACCCACAGCATGGGTTCCCAGGTTTCACCACAAACCCCGGGACTGTTCATGCCAGGGACCTGAGTGCCTGCTAGAGAAAGTGTTATTATATTAGTAAGACTGACATTTTAAGTGTTTTCCTGAACAAGATGGAGGGAAATCATGAATTGTGTTATAAAGAGTTTCACCATATCTTATTTTCTTTAGGAGAAATAAGTGCCCTTTTAAAACTACAAATTTTAGAGAAGGCAATAGGGGAAGAGGTCTGGAAAGCCCTGGGAAATTAAAATGACTTCACAGGGACAGCAAAAGATAAACACTTGCAGAAAATGCAAACTAATCCAGGGGTGAAATATGGTATAAACTGAATCCATGGCGTACCATCACAGCCAACTTAGGCAAGGGCAGTGAGACTGGCCCCTGAAAGGGGACCAGGGAGCTTGTTTCCCCTGCAAGCGCGTGAGAGAGTCGCCACGAATCTTCTTGTTTTCTTCCCATGTAATATCTTTCCACCTTATTTGAGCTGTGTCTGCTCCCCAACAAGAAATAAACTGTATTTGTGTCTTGATTTTATCATCTTTAGGTCTAATAGATAAACAAAGAGAATTAAATATTTAATTTCTAAAAGGAAATAAATGTATAGGTTGCCTTCTGTGTCCCAGAAATGCTCAGCCATCCTAAGGTGACTGGCCAGTGCTGGAACATTTAGGGAGCCTTCCAGAATTCTGAATTGCCAAGTTGTACTTACGTTAAATGAACTGGAACCCCTTATTTTATAAAGAGGGTGCCTACCACTTAATTGTAGGTACCAATGTCAGAAAAGTCAGTATGTTTGAATTTTTAATCCTTCAAGACAAGATCTCTTCTAAAAGCAAATTGGATATAATGTGAGCGCTTTGACAGAGAAAGGAAACTATTTTGAGGAAAACGAAATTGAAACCCAGTGAATTTAGGCTTTCACATCATTGTGTCCACCAAAACTAAACCCCAAAGAAGTTTCTTATTTAAGAATATCTTGTAGCGATCATTTTATTTTAAACTAGCCACACATAGTGTTTGTGGCATAGGCATGAGCAAAGCCCTGGGGTCTCTGCAAATCCTGCAATTCCTCGTCTTCCCTGGGGCCTGCCCAGCCTGAGCCTGACTGACCAACAGTCGAGTCTTCCTGGTTTTGAAAGACGTTGGAAGTGGGCCCAGTGGGTGGCGCTGTCCTTGTCCTCAGCAGGGCCCAGGATCTAGCAACACAGCCTCTTCCCCGTAGCTGGGGACTGGCTTCTGGCCCGACTCCGCCACGAGTGCACACCTGCCCTGGCCCAGCCTCAGTTGCCTCCTGGGGCAGCGGGAGGGGAGGAGTGAGAGGCCCTCACTGTGTGCAGAGAGCAGGTCAGGGCAGGCCTGCTCCGCATGTGGGGAGGCCTGCAGTTTGCCTGCTGTTCTCTCTATGCGTCTGATTCTCACGAAACATTTAGCTTTAGCCACACACAGCTCACAACCACTTTCCAGTTATCATGCGTCTCCCTCAGGAGAATGTTTCTCTATCAAAGCCCAGGGCCCTGTCTTGGGTTCCCAGAAACCGACAGGATTCCCAATGGCCCAGAAGCCGCAGAGGCTGCTGGAGAGCAGAGTTGCCAGGGCACAGGTGTGGCCCGAGCCGGGGCTGCCAGGCTCTGATCCTCTGGCCAAAGCTGAAGCCCCTGTCAACTCCAGGCCTGCCTCTCAGAGCAACAGCCTAGGCTAAGGAGCCTGCCTCCTGCAGACCCACGGTAAAGCGGTAACTAGAACTCATGGAATGAGGGTGAAACGGGAACAATTTAACAGAGCTTTCACATTGTTGGCTCTTAGAAAATACACTGAAAATACACTTAGAAAATACAACCTACCTTTATAGATAGGTAGGTTGAAGGAGACACTTTTGGTGAAAGTACCACTTAATGTGATATTCAGCGAATCAGTGCAGGAACACAGGCCAGCCAGAGGGTTCTATGAGTGGCAGGCCAAGGGGCCCGAAGATCTGAGAGAGCTTGCATGGGGGCTCATGGTGGGGACCCTTCCTAGGCCAGTGCCAGCTGACTGAGGGACATTTCTTATGCCACCTTTTCTTCAGCTACAGAAAGAGAACGGAGTTAATCCAACCCCAGGGCAAGACCCTGTGAACAGATCTCTTAGTTTGGAGTTATAGAATATTCTTGCTGATATTGAGGATTCTTGTTTTTGTGTGATTTCAGGAATGTTAAGCTACTGTGACAGATATGGCGAAGGCATGAAACGTGTCCTGAAGACCTTTGGACCAATTCCAGAGTTTGTTGGGGCCACAGTTGAAAAAGTGAACCAGGTGTGTAGACTCATCGCAGAGAACTGGGCCGGCCTCTGACCTCAGGTGCCCCCCCTCACTTTGGCAGGACCGTCTGTCGTGGCCTCGCAGCCCTTCAGAGCAGGGTGACCAGGGTGCTGCTTACTTGTTTCGGCTTGTCTCTGAGGAACTGTGGGCCTCTGGATTTGGAAACGTTATGTTAATTGAGGGGTTACTACTGTCTTTGAAAGCAAATTCACAGTTTGCATAAATGGAAACAACAGTTATGCTCCTGATAAATAAGTTTCGCTTCATGCCCCCATTTTTCTTCCTTTTTCTTCTCTTTTCCTGTTCCCAGGCCATGTGTGTGAAAGTTCCTGATGACCCAGAGCACTTAGCTGCCAGAAGGAAGTGGAGAGACGAATGCCTCATGAGACTGGCCACACTGAAAAGCCAGATGCAGTCCCAGTGAAGCTTCTGTGATCACTCCCTCCGGAAATCCCACGGGGTGAAATTACAAGTAGTTAATCAAGTTGCTCTGTAACAGTGGAAAGCCGCAGCAGTGCTTAGCATGCAGATTCCGAGCTTGCTCTCCCCCAGGTCACCAGCATGCCCCCCAGAGGCCAAGGATCTCCCCCACCTCTGGTCCTGCCCTCCACTTTGTGTGGTAACAGCACCTGGGTTCTGAGGGCTGTTGATTACCTGCCCCCTGGGCAAGCAGGAGAACAAACTGTCTTTTTAGTGTGATTATGTGTAGACAATGATTGTAGTTTGAAGAACCAATGATTATAGTTTCAAGCTATTTTACTCCATTGCAGAATATTTTTATAATTATTTTCCAGTCCCTGCATTTATGAGGCAACTGCCTTCATTTTGTCAATGCTTATTCTAAATAAAAGTTTTAATTCCATAAAGACAACCTTATTCTTCTGATCTTTCTGAGGAAGACAGTTGGTTGATCCTGGTCATCCACACATTCTAGAGTAACTGTGATGATCACGTAATAATCAGTACTCTGTTCTGGGCCCTTCATCTGTCAATCAGAAGTCCACCTATTTGGGCCAGTGTTTGCCAAGGCAGATTCCACAACGCCCTGTGGCTCTATGGTCCAGTGTGTTTGGGAAACTCCACTGACTGCTCCTTGGGCACTTAAACGTCTATAGGAAATTAAAGGTTCCAAAGTTCTACAGTGAAGATGTCTATGTACCTTTACCCTGACATCCCAGGATCTTCTTTGACATGGAGTCTTTTCCTAGCACTAGTTCCCCAAATACTCTGGGAATAGCGGTACAACCCTCCCACCCACCACCACTGCTGGCCAGCTCTTTGTGAGATGGCTGGATGCCACTGCAGGGTTCCCTGACAGCTCCCAGCCCGTGTGGCGCTCCAGCCCCTTGATTTCAGGTGAGCAGCTTCCTCTGGGCCAAAGCCATGGTAGTTGAGAACCCAAACAGATTCCATTTGGAGCCATGTGGAAGTGGTAATTCCAGGTGAGTGCACACATGCCCTCATCTGTAACTGGACACAGCCTTTAAGCTGAGTGCTGAGCTACAAGAATCAGCCAGCCCTTCTGGCAGAGGGAGCACAGCCGGGAAGGGTGCTGTGTGCCAGAAAGGGGATGAAAGAGACAGGAGGGGGGGCTGGAGCTGGGCCAGAACCAGACGGCGAAGAGTCCAGGGCTGTGCCCACAGCCTCACCTAAGGCAACAGAGAGCTGCCTGAGTGGGCAAGCTCTAGGGCATGGGTGGCTCCGGCAGACTGGCGTGTCCGAAAGCTCCTTCTGAGGACAGATCGGACTAAGCAGGAGTTGCAGACTGCTGCGGTCCAGGTCGGGGCTGGCAGGGCAGGGAATTCGGAAAGCATCCGGGTGGAACGGACAGTCATCAGGTATGGCCCAGAAAGGGGAAACCAGAGCCTCTGAGCTGTCAGCTCAGGCAGCTGCACACACACTGATGCCGTTTTACAAGAGCAGAAAATCACAGGAGGGGCAGGAAATAGATGTCTCAGATGTTAACTTTGCTGAAAAGATAATGTAGTAAGACATGGAGGAGGCTTGCAGCCTTTAAAAGAATGCATCTCGTCATCTGATTGCGATACTCCTTAAACTGTGATGACTCAATCCCTCACTCTGCGATCGGTGGATGAGGTTTCCTCACGGAGCCACAGGCAAGTGCTTGCTTTTCCCAGGAGCTTCTGGCTTCTCCGTGTAGCACATGTTGTCTTCCCAAAATCCCAGCACTGGGCTCAGTGCCTGCCTGATTCCTTCTTTTGTAAGCCCATGCAGGCCAACGTGAAGGTGACCTAGCTGGGTACATGGGGCACTGGAGGGTGTCGTGTGTGGCCTTTTGATTTCACAGCATTGATGGACCACAGGAGTTCTGGAAAGAGTGGCCGATGAGGGTGCCCAGCCTGAAGCTGCAGGCCGGCAGGAGAGCAGATGGGGTGTCCTGGGTCCCCAGTGGCAGTATGGGCTTAGAAGACAGAAGTAGGGATAATCTGGAAGCAAGCACATTCATTTATATATTTAAATTCTTTTTTTTACATTCTTGCCAGACAGAATTTTTGTGTGGATGTCAGGTCTCTTCTGAAATACATGCCCCAGAAGTGCATCTTGGTTTTCCTTGTGGCAGTCACAACATATAATGACAAAATCACTAAAAGTGCCAGGCTGGGACGATACTGAGAGAGCCTCGTGGGAGCCCTGCAAAAATTATACTTTTCAAGCTTGGAAGGAGCAGAGAGCGTTAGTTGGACAGAGCAGGAATTAGTCCAACAGGCAGCTAAAAGGAGGGCCGGGCGTTCAAGCACGATCTCACACAGATCAGGCAGTCAGGACTTCTGGAGAGAGTGTGAGACAAAGATGAGCACCTTCAGCTGGTGGGAGGCCTCTCTGCTTTCAGCCTGTCACCCCTGGGGAGGCTATCAAAGGGCCTGCTTGTTCTGGGGAGTGTAGCCACTGTATAGTTTTATGCACCAGTTTTCCCATAATGTCCTCTTCCTGCCCCAGACTCCCAAGCGAGACGCCAGCCTGCTCACCGCCATGTCTCCCAATCTCTGGCCCACGGGGGCACCGCAGTCTTGCCCTGCTTTCACGAATCTCACAGTTGTAAGGAGCCTCTGCGAGGTGCCCTGTAGAATAGCCCCGGTCTGGGTTTGCCTGGTGTTTTTCTCAAGGTTAGACTGGGATTAAGTTTTGGAAAGAACACCCAGCAGTGAAATGCTCTTCTTATCACATTCTATCAGTGGCTACGTAATTAGCCACACACATCACGGGGGATGTTAGCCTTTACTGAATATTTTTGCCAGGTTTCTCCACTATTGAGTTACCATTAGAAAATAAAAAAATAATTAAAAGTACTAGCGCAATCAGATATTGTCCTGACTGGCTTCTGAGTCATCCGCTCAGAACTGCAAAGCTGTAAATCTCTATCCACAGGTAATACACATGCAATTCCTTTCACATTGGTCTCTGCTTCCAAATGCCTTCTCTTTAATTGAAATATATTTGATATACAATATATTAGTTTCAGGTGTGCAACATAGTAATTCAACAAATTTATATGTTACAAAATGCCCACTCAGATAGGCATAGTTACCATCTGTCACCATATAAAGTTATTACAATATTTTTGGCTATATTCCTCAGACTGTACTTTCATTCCTCTAATTTATTTTATAATTGGAAGTTTGTACCTCTTTGTTCTCTTCACCTATTTCACCACCCACCCCACCATGGCCACCACCAGTCTGTTCTCTGTATTTGTTTTGTTTTTTAGATTTCATACATAAGTGAAATCATATGGTATTTGTCTTTCTCTGTGTGACTTACTACACTTAGCATAAAACCCTATAGGTCCATCCATGTTGTCCCAAATATCAAGATTTCATTATTTTTTATGGCTGAGTAATATTCCATATTATATATGTACCACTGCTTCTTTATCTATTTATCTATCAATGGACACTTCAGTTGTGTCCATACCTTGGCTATAGTAAATAAGTAAATAATGCTTCAATAAACATAGGGGTGCATATCTTTTTGAAGTTATGATTTTGTTTTCTTTGGGTAAATTCTTCACACCCTCCTGACCTGTTGGTCTCCCAGGTGGACAGGCCCCTGCTCATCAGCTGTTGAATGGTCTCACAGAGCTGGGGGCCCATCACAAAGAGCCATACCCAGTGATGCACAGGGGTTCCCTCTGGGTACAGAGCTGTGTGGTCCCCCCAAGACCTGGTGTGCCAGCTCACACTGCCATCTCCTATGCTGCAACGGCCTCTGAGGTCCTGTCCTGGGTGCTGGGGATACGGTGCGAAGCAAGACCAGGCCCTTGCTTTCACTGAGCTTCTGTTCTAAATGAGGGAGGCACTGAAAAAAATGACTAAATAGACAAACAAGTAAAATATCAGAGTACTTGGTACCCATCAGAGAATGGAACCAGGTGGTGGGATAGTGTGTGCCCAGTGTCTACCTCATGCTGCGTGGTTGGGAAGGCCTTTCTGAGACCTAAATGGGAAGGACACAGCCCTGTTTCAATCTGGGAAGGAGCCCCCCAGCAGAAAGCAGAAAGCACAGTTGGAACGCAGAACTGAAGGGAAGGCTAAGCAGTACAGGAGCAGTGGGAAGGCAGCCTGGCAGGAGAGGGGGTTGATGGAGAGGTCAGTGGTGACGGGGCTAATCACCTGCACTTTATAAGGTTAGGTCAGAATCCAATCTAAATGCAGTGGGAAGCTCCCAGCGTGGTGTGATCTCATCAGTTTGCAGTTTGGAAAGACCACTGACTGCTGTGTGGAATTGGAGGTCTGCAAACTTTTCCTGTCAAGGGCCACAGCCTGCCTGTGGGCACCTGTCGCAGCTCCTCCCCACTCCTCAAAGCCAGAGGGCAGCCTAGGTGACATGTAAATGAATGAGTGGGGCTGTTTTCCAGTAAAACTTGTTTACAGACAATGACATTTCAAGTTCATATAATTTCCATGTATTATGAAATGTTGTTCTTTTGTTTTTTTTCTCTAACCATTTAAATGTAAGGTCCATTCCTAGCTCACAGGATGTGTGAAGGCTGTGGCAGGTGGGACAAGACTTTGGGGGGACTGAGGCCAGCCTGGCTGGAGGGGAAGTGGGTGGAATGGGAGGGCTTTGGGGAGTCCTTTGGGATCAGAGCGCCCTGCTCTGCTGGTGGCCCCAGTGGGGGCGGCCCTCCTGCCTGCCCCTCACCCCCTCCAGCCCTGGGCCCACACCACCCACAGTGGGGATGCCCCCAGTGACCCAGGCCATGTGGGGCCTCCCTGAGCAAAAGAGGCTGGGACAGATGAGCGTGTGCCTCTTTTCCTTCCCAGGACCCTTCTCTGGGCTCCCTGGGAGGCTCTGAGGGGCACAGGTGCTGGCTCCCCTCAGCCCTTTCGTGCTCTGGGCAGCATGCTCCTGCCCATGTGACCACTCACTCCCTGGCAGACTTCCTTCTTCGAGGCCCAGGCCCCACGGAGGGGACCCAGGCGCCACTCAGAGCCTCCTTACTCCTGTGCCCTCCTCTTCTTGTCTCCACATGTCTGGCAGCCAAGGGCAACCTTCAGCAATGCCCATCCAATACCTTCCCGCACCTTTGCCTCACACTAAAAGTAGAATCCAGACCCCTTACCCTGGCCTGTGAGCTCCCACAGATTTTCCCTGCTCACCCCCCTCTCCCAGCATCCTCCCCGTGCTTGTCCTTGTCTCTGCCAGAGCATTCTGTCCCTGGAAACGCCTTCCCTGAGCCCGGAGCTCCAGTGGGCCCACGGCCACCTCTTTCATGATCCCCTGCTTACTTTCTTTCTGGTGCTTATGAAATTCTTCAATGTGTGGTTCAGGCATCGACTGTATTTTCTGACTCTCCTGGTACCACCTCAGGTCCCCGAGGGCGATGGCCTCCTCTGGGTTGCTTGC